ATGACTCCACGGAGGACTTCAAATACACATTTTTCTCAGAAACCAAGTTGAAAAATGCTAAGGGGTGGGTAAGTATTTGGGGAAAGAATTATATATGCTTTCTCTGTTCCTACATGCTTCCCTTAAGCAACAGTTGTCAGACACTGCTGTAAAAATTTATTGGGCTAGATGGCCATATATTTTGATCTCGTGATTGATTGTTTTTACATTTAACTTCAAGATCCAGAACAATTCTTTAATAAAATTGCAGACAGTCCCTTTTTTAAGTATTATGTAAGCTAACAAGGAGCTGTGAACATTTTTTTTTTTTTTTCAGAACAAATGTTGACAGTCCAATCTAATTCCCATCTGCACTGGGTCTGGTAGATAGACRAGAAACAGCTGGTCTCCATTAGGTTGAAAATGGCTTTAGACTTTGTATCATATACATCCTCATAAGGGGGAGAGGAGGATGTGGTAGAACATCACTACTGGGATGATCACAAACCATACTGAGAGAGCAAACATCAATGGATAATTGTCAATATAGAAAATTGTAGGAAGCACGGTGTGTAACAGTCTCTTGGGTCCACTTGCACTCAGCATTTTCACCAAGGGGCAAGATGATAGGAAGGAGGAAGCACTTGTGATAGGAAGTTAAGACAGACCATCACTAGTGCCTCAGAACTCAAGTAACTCCATGCCTACATGCGTGACCTGGCTGCTAAGGAGATCCTGTGAGCCAAGGCATCCAGGATGCCCAGGATCCTGGAGAAGAGGCAGGGCCTGAAGGTCACCCCCAGGTCCACAAACACCTATCAGCTTGGAGATCAGATTGTAGGAAYAGGGAACATAACAAGCGTAGGCAAGGGGGAGAGCCGACCTGTTATCAGTGTTGGAGACTTGATAGAAATGCCCCTGTCCTGCTAGGTCCTTGTGAGGCCTCAGAAAGCCTTCCTCTCCCTTGCTTCAGCTCCTTCCTTGGAAGAGTAGCTTGGGTTGCCCTGGCCCAAAGTATATTTCACCCCAAACTGCCTGTTAACTCAATGCTGAGAGCAAGGCTCCCTTCCCTCACAGAAGAGGTCTGGCCATGTCTAGATAAGGAGCTGGCAGCATGGGAAGAAAGTCCATGAATCACAACACCAAGTTTAGATGGGGAGGCAAAGAGTGGACACACCAGGCAAGTGAAATGAAGACGATCGGTCCCAAGGGGCTCTGTGATGGGCATTAGGGTGCTCCACCTCATGGGAACCCTGCTCAGGCTTTGTCACCATGTGTAGGTCACTGGTGCCACCGAGTGGCAAGACTTGCGTGTCACACTGCACGCTGCCTTTCCCTGACTGCACAAACCCCAGCGTGCTGGTGCCACAGAAGACACCTATTCATATATTCACATCCCACCATCCCTACAGGTGTGTGTGACCAAGGAAACCTCCAAGACATCACGATTCCCCCCACGCTACAGTGCCTAGGAGATCCAACCACACCACAGCATTGAGAAAAGATAATAAAGACAGAGAAAGGTCCAGCTTGCAAATACAAACACTCCCCAAGTGTCTCATCCTAAGGCACTGCTGACTTTGAAAAYGATCCCCTCCTACCACTACATCTCCAGCACCTGTGTTTGACCAAGATCTCCAAGATGGGGAACCCCTCATTGTAGATAACGGTTCATCTGTCTATTCCTGTTTCCCTCATCTTTTGTGGGCTGTTCTGGAGGGCAACTGCTCCCAGCTTCAGCATCCCACAGSCTCGTCCAGCCCTCCTCTCCAAACACTCCACAAGAATGTGGGACCACCCTCCCCTCTGCTTCCCCCCCAGCCCTTTCACCATGTCTGACACACTCCGGGATTCAGACATTGTTAATAACATATTTTCCACAAGATACTCCAAGTTCTGCTCTGAACACRGAATTGATCCCCTCAAGGGATTTCCTACACAGTTTGAAAGTGTTAGAGTGATGATTCATGTATTTTCGTGCACACACACACACGCTTGAGGAAAGCAGAAGTGTTTACATCCTCATTTTACGACGGGTCAAAATACACGCACCTTCACCTCCACGGGCAGACAATCCAGGTAATCTTCATCTTCTTGGATATCTTCCCAAAAAGCTATAGGTAGAGCAGTTTTAAAAGCGCTTTTGACAGAGACGTGTGCTGTGCCCCCATTGCAGAGGTGACTGTTGCCAAATTCCCRGTCCCTGCTTCAAAGTTTGGGACATTAGATCTTCCCAAGGAAATGGCTGCCAGCTCATTTGCTTCATGTGTCAAAACAATAGTTTCTTCTTGGACTTATTTCAGAAATGTCTCAACTGTTTGGGTCCAAACTTTTCAAACAATTCAGCCAGAGGCAGACAGGCAGTGTGGAATATTTCAGCCTATGTGGTTAACGTTTGGCAGGAGCACAAGCAACAGAAAACACAGTCGTACAATAGAAGCATTGGGAAAACTGCGCTCTAGGCAGCACTATCAGCTCTGAGGATAAGCCTCTCTCTTTCAAACTGGAATCAAAGATTTCACGCAAGAATTTGCATCAGCTTAGCTAAACAGCAGTCTTCAGTTCCTAGACCATAGTGCATCTTCTGCCCTACCAGCTCTCCATACCCAGAGCTCTTGTAAACGGCCTTCAAAGAGGGAACGGGGAACAGCACATGCTCGTCKGCATTTCCATCGCCCTCTGGAGGCCCGGAAAACTTTCTGAAGGGCTGTGAATTCAACAGAATGGAAAAGTGTGGAAAGAAAACGCATTCCAAAGACACTACAGGCCATGCACAGTCCCTCCGTGTGCCCAGGAACTGCTACATTAACACAGTCTTCCTGAAGAACAGGAAGACTTCTGGTCGGATACTTTTAGCTCTGCCATATCAAGATGAGTGAGAACAAGTGAGGTGAGTGCAGAACAGAAAGTGAGCTCTGGAGACTGGATTCAAGGAACCAAGTCCTCCTGTCTTCAGCAGGCACCCAGCCCACAAACACGCGTGCAGACATGGAGCGTGGGATGAGGAGGCAGCCCCTGAGGTGGAGTATGGAGCRCAGCGTGCTCATGTTTCCTCCGTGCCTCGAAGGCTGCGGCAGGCAGGGCGCCAAAGCAAGCACGCTGAAATTGTTGTTTTACAATCCTGTGGAAGGGGATGAAAAGGGAATGGAGAAGGTGAGGAATGTACTGTGCACACACCGCTTGCTCTGTTCAAGCTGACAGCTCCTCCACGCACACCCTCTGCACGTTGGCTGGAGCCGTGCCACGGATGACGCCATGGAAAGAAGCCCATGGCACTGGCCAAGTGGTACAGAAGTGGTTCTGCGAGCGGGCTCCTGCTTTCTCCACTGCCCAGTCAACATGCAGCTTAASCTGTGAAGCTTGGGTTGGAATCAATTTTCCCTCCCACACCCAGAGCAAGTTCTCATCCTTCCTGCCAGCAAGGCCTGACAAACACTTGCTGTAACTATTCATGCACTTCTAGGTCATGTCAGCCAACATCTGCCTAGAGGTATTTTTTTTTCCATGAAAACCACACATAATGCATATGCCTTGCCTCACTATGGCCCTATCTGGCATCGGCGCTACCCACAGCCCACCCAGATGTCCTCTGCAAGCATCGCCCAGCTGGACCAAGAGGCCTCTTGTAGCCAACATGGAAAAACAAACTCCAACATGAGCTTCAAAGAGAACTGTCTGCTTGCAGTTCCCTCTGCAAGACCTGCCTTTCCTCCACCGAGAGGCACATAGCAGGATGGACTRAGGAAAGTGGTATTTATGTAACCACCCAGTGTTGACCAATCTGGTGCCCAGGAGCTGTCGTGGGCAAGGTGCAGGGTTCAAAAACCCTGAARTGTGAAGCATGAATTTTGGGTGGCTCCTTCCACTGCGAACCAGATCTTTCTTGGACTCCTGGTCCATTGCTTGCTTGCTCTGAAGGAGCTGAAATGAATCTCCTCACAGCAGCAGTCTTCCCTCGGCCTATAGGGAACAGTAAAACTGGGACTGGAAGACAAGCCAGAATGAGGGTGAGTAGAAAATAAAAGGCATTAGCTTGACCTTTCTTTGCCGTGTTCTGACAGCACRTGCTGAACACAAAGTCCAAAATCAGTCCCGTATCTGCCTGCAACAGATACAGCCCAATACTAGGGACCAGTGACGGTTGCCAGAAGTGACTGTGGCAACAGAARTATTCAGATGGAAGTTCTCAGCTATCCATGAGAAATGCAGAGGCACAAAAMCCYCCGGAAAATGARCACTCTTTCCAAACTTCTCTGCCCTGCTTCATCTGTATTGAGTAACCTCAAGCTCATCTTCGTTCTGGAACTTATTGCACGTATTCAGAAAAATCCCCGGTCTTTGTGAGCTTTATTCCTAGTGGTTAGCGTGAGTACGGCAGTCACTTTGCCTTCTATCTCAACTTCACTGTGATATCCTCTGATTCCTCCAACAGCAGCCAACAGATGGAGTCCGTGTCCAGCAATCTTCGAGCCTTTATCAGAATTCCCCATGTTGCAATCAGGAATCTGAACTGACCCCACTGAAAACTCCTCCTTTAATGTCAGGAAAAGGAAACAGAAGCAGCTCCCTGAGCTCCCCTGCACTACAAGGGCACTGGCGGGAGGTAATATTACATTGCCAGAAACCAAAAGCTTTGCAGAGGACCTTTGGCTTCTGAAGAGGCTGAAGGCAGAAGTGACATTCGCCTCTCAAAACGGCGCAGTGAGCTGAGATCACCGCCCGGAGCAGGAAAAGCCGAGCAGCAAGGAGGGGCCTTGGGTCGCTTGCTGAAGCTACAGTGTCTAAGATTAGCCACAAGTCTTATGCTTCCAAGGACGGAGATCCCGGGCTAACTTTCCTGTCTGTAATCCCCTGGAGCAGCACACACGCACTGGCCGTCCCTCACGCTTTGTAACACAAACCCCGCCAGGCTGCACAGGGCAGCCGAAATTGCTCTTGGCTACTTTGGGCTGTCCTTAAAATAGAAACAAAGCTGCTCCCGAACACCTCCCCACCTCCCTGGGCTGGGGAGGAGGTTTCATGGCATCTGCGCGTGCTTACGCTGTCCACGGCACTTTTCTTTTTCTATTACGGGCACTTTGGCACCCGCTCCTGAACTTTGGCACTACGCAATAAGCTGCTTTTCTCCCACCACCTGAGGTTGTAAGGTACAAGGACGAGAGAGCTGGGCTGACAAACAACGAGGAAAATGCGCAAATGAAGCAGAGAAGCGGCCGTCGGCAGCAGCAGTCGGTAAGTGGAATACACCAAGTCTTCACACAGCTACTCTCGCAACACTGGGCCCTTCTGGCTGCCAAGCAGGGGGAGAAACGGGGAGCCCCCCTTGGCCACGTGCTGGGCAGACRCCCCGGCACTGCCAGAGCGGAGCAGGGTTCCTGCGACAGCCAAGGGGAGCAGCCGCTCTGCAACTTCCCACCGGCTCCACCAGCGAGCGGAGGCTGAACTTCCTCTGTCTGGTGAGAAATGTCTTCGGGTCCAAACAGCTCCATCATTCTTGGCTTTCTGGAGGAACAGCGGGCAAAATTCCGTGCCTAGTTTTCATCACCTTTTCATCTCAAGCTTAATTGCAGACCAGTGCTCTGAGGCCAAGGGAGCCCCCCTTGAGTGAGCACTCCAGCAGGAGCAGGAATTTTTGCTCTTGATCCTTAATAGCAGGTATTTCAGTCCTGCAGTGGCAAGAGCTTTAGCAGGATTAGTAGCAGCTACCTCGTCTCCTGCTTCTGCAACGTCTTTCCCAAGCAGAGCTACGCTACGCTGCTGCTCAGCTCTGTGGATGCAGATTCAGGAGGACACAGTGTGAAGGCAACGGGCACAGCAGGTCATGTCCAAGGCAGCAGCTCAGCTGCTGAACAGCACTGAGCAAGAGCCCTGTGGCAAAATGCTCTCTGGGGTTATCCATGCAAACGGGTTATCAATTTTACTTAAAGGTATCATAATATTACCTGCTGTGTTACTGCAGTAGAGCTAGGAAAGGGAGAAATACATAACCAGGGTGTCACATCTGCTTTATTGTCCGTGACCTCGTGGGCATTTTTCCTTTGGTGGAGCCATAAGTCATCATTATCTCTCAGTCTGATAATGTTTTAGGATTAGGATGATGATAATATCAGCACTGCAGATTTCACAGAGCAAAGCTGAAACTCCCGAATGCCCAAGGACGATGTTCCTTCTTTGCCAATGCTGCAGGGAGGCTGCACTCTTCCCGTCTTTTAGCTGTATTAATATTTCATTGTGGGTATCTCATCACATTGGCTCTTGCAGCTGATTTGCTTTAAATAACTAAGACTTATCTTCAGAGACTTTCCTCGAGCAACACATGGCCTTAAGCCTTTGCTTAATCTTCCCAGCCACAGCTGCTGAGCAGACTTTCCCGTCAGCCACATGACACTTGAGAAGTTCAAGTTTAAAGTGGAAGCTGCTTCTTACTTAGTCAAAGTATCGTGCTCTGATGAAAACGCAGGTCTCTGCACACTGCCAGTACAACTACTCATTTCTAAAAGAAGTTTCCTTCATCTTCATTGACCTGCTGCTTGAGCTGTATCCGCTATCAGCAATCGCTAAACCACATTGAGATAGGACTGCTTTATTTGTTAGTATTGACTTGCTCAATGTCGCTGATATGCCAGTCGAGTGGTGAAACATTTATAYCAAGTGCTTTTGTGCCAAAGAATTGCAGGACTTGTTTCTCTCATGTTTTTCAGTGAAATAGCAACTTTGTGGACATGACCTAGGTACCAAAAAGAAACCCAAAAAAAAAAGTGGCTAATGATAAATTCAGCTAAGGGGATGATGAACAGACAAGCAGGTCTTGTGGGCTTAAGCTTTGCTTGGCCGCCTTGGCAGCAGTGCTGTTTACAGCATGAGACACTGTCTTCTTTATGCTGCTTCTCAGGTTGCATGTCCCCATCGCGGATTTTCCTGCTGATCATTTCCATTTAACAGCTTCCTTGTACTCCCTGTGATTGCTGCAGTCACTAGTCGGCTGAAACCTTGTACTCACTGGGCAACTTCATCAAGCTGGGACCGTCTCTGTTAAGTTAGCWCTGTGGGAAGGCTCAGTGTCTGCTAAGCAAGGAAAGGAGGACCATAAAGACAAGAATAAGGTGAGGAGGCAGGTTTATTACAAGCTAGATCCATTTAATCTCCAATGGAACTGCAAAGTTAAGGCTAAACCAATCTAACTACCAGCTGCTGCCTCCGCTCAGCCTCAGGCACGCGTACGTGTGGCTGGTGGACCCACGGCGAGCCAGTTCGAGCAGCTGTGCAGGAAGAAAATGAACCTGGTAAAACAAAACCTGCAGCTTTCTGCTGGTTTAGCTCCCCAAACTGGCCTGTCACAGGTAAGGAGAGTGGCAGGGCTGTGCCAGAGGGAAGGAGTAGAGTTGGTAGGAGCTGGAGAGTCTCTTTGGTAGCAGTTAACTACTAGGTACCTTTGTTGTAATACAACTCTACCCCCTTAAATAAAGGAACCTAATTGTATGCATCTCAGATCGGATAACTCAAAGCTGAGATTTAGACCTAAATCCTTGCCAGGTGCGCCAAGACCGTGCTCTGCTCACARAGTTGTGCTTTCAAAGCTGTACAAAATCATCTGAATGCTTTTATGTCCATCTTCCTGAAATGTGAATGACCTCCGGGCAAAGCTCGTTGCGTAGACTGCAGCTGCAAAGGACTGTGCTTAAAGCACCTGGGGCATCTATGGTGCAAGCCRGTGTTGTGCATCCTCCCCAAACCCTTGTGCTCCTCAAAACTGTAATCAGAAAAGAAAGCTCCCTCCTTATCTACCGATTGAGACAATAGAAACTTTCCAGGAAGTTCTCCAGTGAGTCCATGAACGGTATTTCACACCTTGGGTCACTTAGTCACTGCAACCCTGCTGACTACCAGGACATAATAAACATTATAAGCACTTAAAGGACAGACAGAATCACCCTTGGAGATCTGATAAGATCACTGGAGTGCAAAGGAGGGAAACAGAAGAGAAAGATATTGTTGGGGAAGGATTCAGTTTTTGTTCAAACAAGCAAAAGCCCACTGGAAGGAAGCTGTGATGTTCTGGATCGTTATGGAAGCACATTATGACATCTTCAGCAGCATTTTGGGGAAACACTGAGAAGCAGAATGGGATCCTCTTTGAACAGGTTGCTCAGCRTGCTGTGATGTTGGGAAGTTCAGATCTGATTGCATCTGAGCACTTGAAATCAAAGGGGAAGAGGCATTTTGATAGCATTAAAAGGCTGGCAGTTATTTACAGAGTAACTAGAAAGAAGTTGCATTTTATTTTTGACAAAAGTGCAGCTTCATTCTTGGCAAGATAAAGGCCTATTAAAGGCATTTGTTTAAAGGCATATTAAAGGCGTCTGTTGTCTTTTTAATAAGAAATGTTTTCTCTTTGCTTCAAAAGAAATGAGTCCCATCAGCCTTTTACCCTCTGTTTGGTCTCTCCTGGCCTCCCTGCTAAGCAACAGAGCACTTTTCCTCTCGTTGCCCCACACTTTCCTGTCACCTGATCCTTCCCAACTATGCTGGAAAGAAGCAACCCYAGCTACAGCACATGTGTTTGATCAATCAGCAGTAGTGGCTTCACAAACCACCACACACCAATTGCACCACGCAGTTATTTACATAACAGTAATTTTATCAGTTCAGCGCTCCACTTTACAGCATGATGGTTTGTGGGCACCTGCTTTGCAAAACTCCCTCCATTTCTATACTATTTTCCTTACCTTAATCTGGTTCAGATTTGTTGGAGGGAGGGCTAGTCTGGTTGTAGCCCCCAGCAGGTCTGTCCCACACCACGTGTCACGTTCCATGGGACAGTCACACTGCCACCATCGACATGGGCAGGGCATCCAGCTGTAGGTTTATGAGTACAGTCATTTAGATTTGGAAGTCAATTAGGCCAATATGGAAGTCAATTAAGACAGTTTAGAYGAGGTTTGCGTGGACTTTGGTAATGCGTGCCTCTTGGCTTTCCTTCAGGCTTCCCAGCAGGGCACATCGTGCCAGGKCACAGCAGCACAGAGAAATCAAAGCCAAAGTGGCCATCAGGTCCAGCCTGAGCTTAATGCGGACTTGTCAAACTGGATTTCAGAAAGCCTTTCTTTCATAGACTGTAATTTGGGGATTTGGTCAATATTTGAAAACAATACGGTCCTGCCCACCCTATGCCGCTGGTGGGTAAACAATTATATGCAAAATATTTTTTACATTTTAAGCTATATTTTAGTTATATATTTAGTTATTAGTAATGTAATTAGTAGAAGTATAGTTCAGGTGTCCATCTTTGTGCCTCAGACGCTTTGGAATGTCTCAAGAAATACCAAAAAAAAAAARACAGACTGGTAGCTTTTAATACTCCAAGGGAGTATTCTTACACTGCCATGTGGAGCATAGTCCAACACTCATAGCCACAGTTCAAAACCTGCCACAATTGACACAAAATGACAAGGCACGCGCAGCTCACATACGTCCCTATACACCCAGGCAGGGTTCCTTGCTAAGGTCCTGGCACTCCTACGTCCTGATTTGCTTTGCTGTGTGCAGATTTTCTGGATTTTGCAGTGTTGCTGATGATGCTACTGGCTGTGTTCAGCTGGGGATTATGCAGAGAAGGCTTCTCCTGAGTGGCATGACTCATGTCACACCTCTGTATTGAGAAAGTCACAGCTAACCTCCCTGCATGGCTCCCCCACCTCCAATAAAAAAGGTAAAATGAGCATCCTAAAGAAAGCCCCTCCCTGTGCTCCAGGGCTCCTGCAAGTTTTGGTTTCACCCTCCGCACACATTCAAATGAGCAGATTTTTGCCCAATCCCAAACCTTTGGAAGTCAGCAGGAGTCTTGTAATTGACGTCACCGAGCTTTGGATCAGCCCCAGGAAAGCTGGATTTATAAATACAGGCACTGCAGGTCAGGCACTGTTTGAAAGGGCTCTCAGCGTTGCCAAGGGACTAGCTGCAAGAGCGCTACCTGCATGGGGTGCTCCCAAGGGAATACGAGACAGCCAGAGATTTCTGACATTATTGCTATTCCAGGCTTTCCCAGGGCCCTGCCACCTCGTGCAAATACTCACATTTGCCCAAGCGCTGATCCGTTCATGGCATCCTGACCGCTGCAGCTGAAAATGTTTTCAAGCCTTCAGTCTCCTAAGAGCTTCCCTGCGTGTTGCTTGACTGGAACCAACCATGCAGCCTGCAATGTTTGAGAGAGGAAACTGTAAAAAGCAACTCTTATTGGTTTTAAAATCGTTATTATTTTTATTTGTGCAGGTATTTATAACCGTGTTCATCATAACCGTGCCTGCTACAGCTTTAGAAAAGGCTGGAAATAAAGAGCTGGCAGAATGTGCTTTAGTAAGATGAGAGAACAGTCCTAAGTGCTCCAAGAACGCATTAGAGCCCGCTGGCAAACAATAACAGYACACATGAGCTGGGCTCCCAGGACTTGAAAGCAAGAATGATGGGGTGGAATTTTTTCAGGCCTACGTAATGCAGAAGGACAGCCTAGATTATCTTAATGATTTTTTATTATTACTATTTTCTGGTATTAAAATGCACACAGCTGTCTTGCAGTGCTTCCAAAGCTGCGGTGCAGTGTTGGCTCTTTCTCCTTGTTTTGACTTGCCCCATAAAAAACATTGAAGAAGCCTGAAGCACACAAAATGCTTTTTATTATTTATTTATTTTTAAAATTTATTTTCCTCCCCCCCATATAAAAATACCTGCAATTTCTGGAGGACTTTGTTCTGTTCCTGTCCTTCTTCCATGGTGAGGAAAGCACAGGGTTAAACTGAACACATCAGTTGTTGGCAAAAGAAGAAATGTGGACCTGCAAGAACAGGTTCCTGTATCATCCATACGGGTGCCTATAGGCTCCTGCAGCTCCTGTTTGGTGTTTTGTCTGTTTGATGTTTCGATCTTAGAATATTATTGTGTGTGTGTGTGTGTGCATGCATTCACCCAAGTATGTTTTAAAAATGTGTTTTTATATAAGCATTAGAGCAGGTGTTTGGGGATGAAATCAGCAGATCTGATAGGGAGAGGTTTAGAGGGGTAATGGTGGTAAAAGAAGAAGCAATATATAAGATAAAAGCAGGGGGAAGTGTGTAAGAGCAGCGAGGGTGCAGGAGCATTCTCAGCAGGGTAGTGGTGGATGGCAGAAGGTGTCTCCTTACACTGAAGTGTAAGGAACACTTATGGAAAGCATTTAACATAAGGATTAGGGAAATTCATTAGCATTTCCCTCGTTTTGACGGCTGTAACTGGCAGCATGCACATGGCAGTGAGCTGGGGCAGCCATGAGGCCCTCACTCTCCTTGCTCAGCCACGTTTCCACRTGTAGCATCTCAGCGGGGTTGTCCCCTGCGGCCCAGGACGATCCCTGCTTCTCCTGGGGACATCCAGCCCCTCCAGAGGAAGGAGAACAGGCGGAATCCTGCTCTGGTGTCCCCCCAGGCCCATGTTTGCTGTGACCATCCTGTCCCTCCCCTCAGGGACATGGCTCCTGTCCCTCCTCTTGGGGACATTTCTCCTGTCCCTCCCCTCGGGGACATGGCTCCCTGCGAGGCTCAGGCGCTGCGGCACCACCAAGATGGGCTCGTGCCCAGGTGGCTGTGAAGGTGCCCCTGGACGGGGGGGCTCCTCATGCCGCCCCATGGCGCCCGCCGCGCGGCCCCGACCCGGCGCCCCCCGACGGCGCCGCGGCCTCC